ATAAGGATATTTTGCTTTGACTTGCAGGCAATATGGCCCGTGCATGATCCCCAGGCTTTCCAGGTAAGGATGGTTTTGTCCTTGGGTTGCAACTGCCTCAGGCGGCATGGTTTGTAGGGACGGCAGTGATAGCCCCACCCCACCCCTAGTTCACCTCATTGTTCTTTCTGAGCACCCCAGTCTGTCCTGCATCCCCTTTATTTCTCTGCTGCCCTCAGCCTTTCTGAAGAAAACTGTCCCATTGACACTGTTTAAAAAACATCAGATCTTAAAGAGACTGACTGAGGCAGTCTTTTTAAGTGGAGAAATCTGACCCTCAGAAGAATCCTGGGCTTAAGTCTTAAAGATCAGTTACAAAACAAAGGAGGGTACAATAATTGGAGAGAAATGTCCCTGCTCTGTATTCAGAGGCTTTCAGTAGTTAAAGAATTCCCTCTTCTACTCATGAGCTATATGTAATGTCTGTTTCTGTGTTAAAGTGGAACAACTAAATTTCAGCAAAGCCCACTTGGTTTTTATATGTGGAAGGAGGGACAGTAGAGCATCTTGCTCTTTGCTTCAGATGGCAAAATGTGTTGGACCAGCTTTAAGAATGGGAAGAACTGTCCTAGACTTGAGGGCCCAGCTGTTTCTTTTGCTAGTTACTGTGCTTTGAGTTCATTCATTTATTACAAGTTGCTTCCAAACTTAGAGGTTTCTATTATATCCTGAGATTCGCGTGGCTCCCTCGCTGGGGATTTTCAAGAATCAATTAAAAACATGGATGTTTCGGCAGGCCTTCCCATCAGATAATTCCTGATGCCCTTTTCTTCCCTCTCCTATAGTTTCTCCCATCTTGTTTAATGTTTTTTCTATGTAAAAATTGTTTTATATATACCTATTGTACTATTTTATGTTGTTAGCTGCCTAGAGTGGTCTTGATCTGACCAAATAGGCGGGATATAAAATAAATAAATAAATAAATAAATAAAAATAAAATAAATATACAGCTGGTCTACCTCCTTCATGGAGTATTGAGGATTAGTCCACATGATGCTTTCCTTAATCTGCCTTTATTTAAAACTAGAAATTAAACCCCTGCTAATACAGTAATTTGTTTCCTACATTCATGCGCCTCATTATTCCCCCACCTTGTTTATAGTTCTCTTTCCAATTTTTAGTCTCATCAGAACCCTGCAAGCAGGTCTAGTTGAGGGAAATCAATTGGCACAAGACCACCCAGTGAGCCTCATGGTTTAGTGGGATTTGAACCAACATTAACTATGCAGTTCTTCATGTTGACTTTGATATTATAGCATGCTGATGGAAGAAAAACTGATTTTTTCTCTTCAATGTCTTTGGATGGTAGATCTAGGATCTGCAAGTAAAATGCTGCTAATATACCACCCCATAGTGCTTCAAACACTCTCTGGGCAGCTGACAATTTAATTCTGCAAACTACACAATGCCCAGCAAGCTGGGTATTCAATTCACTGATCTTGGAGGGATGGAAGGCTGAATCAACGTCAAGCTTGGGATTGAATTCACTGTGCCACATAGACAGCCACCTGTTTTCTCATCTGCAAATTATATCTGGGAAGGATCAAAGTTTGGTTGGGACCTTGGTTTGCTTTACAATAAAATAGCATAATTTTCTGAATTCTAGTTGCCCAACCAATCCTAAAAAAAGGACGGTTGACCATGGCTAGGAGAATAGGATTAGAAAATCACAGAGAAAGGAAGGATGGTTTCTTAAAAAGTAACTTTCAAAGCTCAACCCCGCCATGGCTGGTGGTGGCTTTCAAACACTGTCTTTTCCTCTTTCTCCCTTCCAGAAAGAAACAGTTCCTTTACAGCCCTTCTGGAGAGAGAAGACTTCTCTGACGGAGATCACCCCGAGATCACTCCCAGACAAAGAGCTGGTCCCATCCAGGGCTTTCCCCACGGGTGTGTGAGAAACACCATGGCTGCTGCCAGCAACATCATGAAGCAACTGCAGTCGGCACTAACCTGCTACATCTGCCAGAGAGGTTTCTTAAACCCTGCCACTCTTGACTGTGGGCACAACTTCTGCCACAGCTGCATCCTGACTCACTGGCAGGAAAGCGGGTCCGAAGCCGCCTGCCCCAGCTGTCAGGAGAAAATCCTGAGGATCAGCTTTCCATTAAATAAGCAACTGGTTAATATTGTTCAGCTCACCCAAGACCTGGCCGATCAGGTAAGGCGAGCGGCAGGCAGGCAGGAGCCCTGCCGGGAGCACCAGGAAGCGCGGCAGTCTTTCTGCATGGATGACCTTGTCCTCTTTTGCTCTGCTTGCGACGCATCTCGAGATCACCAGTCCCACCGTGTCCTTCCTGCGGAGAAAGCTGCCGAAGATTACAAGGTGGGAACCGACGACTTATGAATGTGCAGAACCAATGTTGTTCTTATGGCCTTTTTTGGGGGGGGGCCTCCGGTGTTTACTCAGAGTTTGATTTCTTCATGAGCCTTATGGCATGGCTAGAGAGAGGGAACAGATGCGCTATGCGCTGTGAGTAGCCCCCATCTTGGCCCAAAAAGTTTCACTGGCCTCTGGTTGGGAGCCTAGAAAGCTGTGGATTGGCTGGGCTTATTTCTGAGTGTACACCTGGCTCTGTTACTCATGTGGGGCACACTGACCATGCTAGAGCAGTGGTTCCCAGCCTTGGGTATCCCAGCTGTTCTTGGGCTGCCATTCCCAGAAGCCTTCGGCATCAGCTGGCTGGGGGTGTTCTGGGAATGGCAGTCCAAGAACGCTTGGTTTACCCAAAGTTGGGAACCACTGCTGTAGAATCAGGAATTAGAGAGACTTAAAGAACTTATTGTTTCTTTGCTGTTAAATGTGCCCTCTTTTGCACCCCCAAGATCAGTGCAAGAGAAGCAGAGTGCTGGTTGAGGCAGTGGCAGTAGGACACTTAAGCCATGGTCAGACTCTGGACCAAATGCGATCCCTTCCACTTTAGAAGATGATGGGTATTGCTCGGTTTACTTCAAAACTTGGTAAGGCAGCTCTGCCTCATTGGAGAGTCCCTGCTGCCACCTCTACTGCGTAGAGTCCTCAACAGGAGTGTGTAATGTGTACCAGGAAGGTGGTGGAGACGGCGATAAAGGAAACATAGGAACGGGAGAGGTGGATCCCTTCCATAGCAGTAAGGCTGTTTCCTGCTTTGCTCCCGAAATGCAACTAATATGAATAAAGCGTTCAAAAACGGAGACTCATTTCTTTCCTTTTCTTTCTTTCTCCTTGCCATTCTTTGCCTTATATCGGCAGTTACAGAACTAGAGTGACTTGGGTTGAGGGAACTTAAACTGTAATGAGAAGGGATCCAATCTCAATTATGTTGTGATGAAGCCTCTGGCACTCAGTTTAACCCAGTTAGTGTGACATACGGAATGTTCATAAACATTTTTAAGTGTGTTTGGAGAGAGCTTTTGAAAAGTTTGTGGTTAGCTTCTGTACAGGAAAGGGAACGAGCCCCTATAAAAACTTAATTTATATTCCAAGGCTGTGGTATAATAGAGGCATTGGCCCAAGAAAAGGGAACAAGAGGGTAGGTAAAAGAGAAAAATGGGGTGCAGAGAAAGGTAGAAGAGGCAGAGAATAGAGGCGTCGGCATGAATTCATCTCTTAATTTTGTAACTACAGATTTCTAGCATTTAAGAATTTTGTCATATCTGTTTGTGTTTTAGCATCACTTTTTAACATGTGCAACAATTCTACAGAAGGAGAAGGAAAAGATTTATAAGAATGACAGTGCTGAAGAAACTGAGTGTATGAAATTATCGGTAGGTGTTACTGCAAAATGACTTGAAACTTATTCATGCGGTTTTCTTTTCTGCAGCTATTGACCGTGTACTCAGTGTAGACAGCTAAACTACCAGTGAACAAACCAATAAACAAGATTTAGCAGAGAAAATCATTTTCTTAAACATTTTTTCAGAGAGTTCTATTTTTAAAGCTGATTTGCAAAGTGCCTGAGCAGTGGATGTCTGGTACCAAAGGATTTTTGTGGACTGTACCCCCCCAAGCATCTGATGCAGACTGTAGTCTGTGAAAGAATTCAGCCAAATAAAATGATCTCTAAGGCTGGGCAAGAGTGTTTGATGTTGCTGCAACAGAACAGCAAACTAGGCTCCATCTGAACAGAGGGGATGTGCACAAAGTGCTTGGAACAAATTCCCAATATGTGGCATTATGGCTGAAATCCTGTTGCTTAGCATACCAAGTTGCACTAGACCCGAGCGTATCAGTGGGGATTTGGTCAGTCGGCTCCATAAACTTGTGGGTCTACCCTAGTGGCAATTTACTATGCTACGTTAAGTTGCAGCTAGACCCTGCCCATTTGAATCAACTGAATTTACAGAAGAGTTGATTCAGTGCGCCTAGCCTAGTGTGACTTACTACGCTAAGCAACAGGATTTCAGCCATCATGCCCTTGCTGTGCTATTCGTGTCCTGATGCTGCAGGGCTTGATTCTAAGCCACCTACTCCTCTTCTCCTGCCTTATAACTACAGAAACAGATGTTCAAAGAGAAGAATGCTATGGTGGCTGAGCTGGAAGAACTGCAGCATTTTGTGGCAGAACAAGAAACGTTTTTGCGGACTGAGATCATGGAAAAAACAGAGAAGGATATGACCTGGCGCAAGAGTGTGCGGACAGCCGTCCTTTTCAGAGAAGAGTTGACTTTTGATGACATCATCCGGGAGTTGAAGGAGAAAGACGGGGAGCCACCCTTTGACCTCCTCCAGGTAAGCAGGGTGTCTTGGACGCAGCTCTGCATCTT